GTGCAGCCCGCAGCCAAGGGCGGATCCCGGGCAGCGCACGGTGAGGCGGCGGCACCGCAATGCGACCGCGCGGGGGGAGCGGGGCCGGGGGCGGCCGGGGGAGGAGGTAGGGGATGCCCCGGGCAAAGGCAGGGACGGCGGGGAGCGGGCGGGCACCGGGACCGTCCTGCCCTGCCCCCATCCTGCCCCCATCCTGCATCCCGCCCCTCCGTTCTGCCCCATCCCGTCTCTCTCCGCCCCCCATCCCGACCCCAGCCCCGCATGTTTGTGTGTTTTCCCCGCTCCCCCCCCCCCGCGCTGATGGTGCGGAGCTCCGGGGGGGGCTCAGGTGCCGTCCTCAGCACGGGGGAGAAGCGCAGGTCGGGGCTGCACGGGGCTCTGCAGCACCCGTGGGTGCCGTGGAGGCCCCTTCCCACCCCTTGGCACCCCGTGGCAGCGGGGATGCGGTCCTCGGCACCGCTGCAGGCAGGTGCCACGGAGATGATGGTGGCACAGGGATGATGGTGGCACGGGGATGATGGTGGCACGGGGGTGATGGCACAGGGCTGCTCTGCCACCACGGCCTCTGCTTCATCCCCGTGCAGCTCCGACGCCTCCAGATGGCACAGAACCAAACCTTTGGGTGCTGAGGCCGTGCTGATGGGCTCTGGCTGCATCCCACGTACTCACCCGGTGCCAGGCAATGCTGTGGGGCAATGGGTGCCCGTGGGACCCCAGGAAAGGGCTGCATCCCCTGGGTGCACATGGGACATGCCAAGAGTGGGGCAGAGCTGACCCCAAAGCAGCACCGTGTGCCATCCCTGTGTGCCCGCTCACCTCCTTTGGGATGGCGCTGCTGGCATGGCAGCCCCGTGGCACGGCACGCTTTGCACCTCCCGAGTGCTTGCGCTCTGCGTGGGGAGCAGAGATGCTCCCACATGTGGGGACACCTTGGGGACCCGTCGTGCCGTGAGCCCGCAGCTGTGTGACACCATCCGCAGGGCAGAGCGGTGGCACAGCGCAGCGCTGAGCTCTGTGCACGAAATGGCCCCTCCTTACTCAGCACATCCATCTCCACAGCGCAGCCCCGGGGCTCTGGGGATCGTCGGACCGGGCTGGGGGCTGCCCCACTGTGCAGCTCCCATTGCTGGGGGTGTCCGTGTCACCCCCCACTTCCCCCCTCTGGCGGTGCTGTTCCGATCACAGCTGCTGTGCCGTTGGCTGTGGCTCGGCCATATGGCCGCGGCGTGGGGGGGGGGGGGTAAAAATAGCAAAGGCTGCTGCACCCCAGGCGGGCGGCGAGAGCCACCCCACGGCCTGAAGGGCGGCCCAAGGGCAGGGGGCTGCGCTGGGACCCCCCCCCCGTTGCACACAGTGGGAGCGGAGGGCCGGCAGTGGGGGTCCATCCCGCAGCTGTGATGTGTGCCCTGTGCTCCGTCCCTTGCAGCGGGGGGCCACGATGCCGGAGCAGAGCAACGATTACCGCGTGGTGGTGTTCGGTGCCGGCGGCGTGGGGAAGAGCTCGTTGGTGCTGCGCTTCGTCAAGGGGACGTTCCGAGACACCTACATCCCCACCATCGAGGACACGTACAGGCAGGTGATCAGCTGCGACAAGAGCGTCTGCACGCTGCAGATCACCGACACCACCGGCAGCCATCAGTTCCCAGCCATGCAGCGCCTGTCCATCTCCAAGGGCCATGCCTTCATCCTGGTGTTCTCCGTCACCAGCAAGCAGTCGCTGGAGGAGCTGAGGCCCATCTACCAGCAGATCGTGCAGATCAAGGGCAGCGTGGAGAGCATCCCCATCATGCTGGTGGGCAACAAGTGCGACGAGACGCAGCGGGAGGTGGAGAGCAGGGAGGGGGAGGCCGTGGCCAAGGAGTGGAAATGCGCCTTCATGGAGACCTCGGCCAAGATGAACTACAACGTGAAGGAGCTCTTCCAGGAGCTGCTCAACCTGGAGAAGCGCAGGAACGTCAGCCTCACCATCGACGGGAAGCGTTCCAGCAAGCAGAAGAGGACAGACAAAATCAAGGGGAAGTGCAGCATCATGTAGAACCCCGGACTGGCCCGTGCCCCCCGGCCCCCCCCCTCACCTCCCCGTGGTGGGGCTGTCCCTGTGTGCTCCCTGCGTCTGCGGTGCCTGCGGGGCAGCTGTGGCCATCGTTGGGTTTGGGGACACAGACCCGTGGGGACCCTCGGCCTCGTGGAGTGGGACGGGGTTGTGGGGCCGGCCGCGTGCGTGCTGCAGCACAACTGGACACGGGCGTGTGGGGATGGGATGGGGGGACCCCACCGGGGGCCATGGACGCCCACCCAGGTCCCCGTGTGCTGTGCAACGTGGCAGCGGTGCAGCCACCCCCCTGGTGACGGTCACAGCAGCCCTGGGCTGTCCCTCCTGCACGGTGCCCTTCCCTGGGTGGGAGCCCCCTCCACTGCCCCCTGCTGAGCCCCCTCCCGTCCCCCAGAGCCGCCAGCCCAAGCACAAAGCATCGGGTCCTGCGCAGGTCCTGACCCAGCACAATCCTGGCGAGCTCGGACGCAGAGCCCTCCCCGCACCCCCAAATCCACCACCATGCGGTCGGGGTCCCCCCTCTTCCTCAGTACCCCCGAGGCTCTGCCCCCCCATCGCTGCCCCACGCCCCCCGGAGCCCTCTGCTTGTCCCCCCACCCCCCCCCCACCCCCCCGGCCGGAGTAGGGCCCTGCCGCCAGCAGCCCCTCATCCCTGCGGGGTCACCCCTCGCTCCGGCCCTACTGCCCCCCACCCCGGGGCCGCCCCAATGCCATGGGGTGCACACAATGGGGGGGGGGCCGTGCCTGCTCCCCGCTCCTCCTCCGGCGTTTTACACCCACCCGACCCCACCGAGGGACGAGGCGACGTGACGATGTAGCCTTTATTCTAGAAATAGTCTTCCTTCAATAAAGAGATAAGAAACGCTGCTGCGTCCCCACGGAGTTGGGAAACGCTGCTGGTCACCCCCCCCTCCCCTCCCTCCAGGGGTGGGGGGGACGTTCAGATGCACGGGTGTGCGAACGCGTGCATGCACGTGCACGAGTGTGCATGCGTGTACGTGCACGTGCGTGCACAGGTGCTTGCGATCACGAGCATCCACGCAGCCCGTGCGCACACGCGTGCCCGCGCACGGGGGCGGCTGTTGGGTGCCCCCGCCCCCCGCTGCAGCGAGGGCTGACGGCCCCGTGGGGAGGGGGTGGGAGAGCAGAGAGTGCGTCATCGTCGTGCCTGTCGCCATGGAAACCATCTGCTCTCCGGTCGCTGGAGGCGTGTGGGTGCGGGCGGGGGGAGTGCGGGGCTGCTGCGGCCGCAAAGGGCCCCGGCAAGGGCACGGCTGTGCGGGGATGTCGAACGGCCGTGGGGATGCGACGGCTTTGCGGAGGTATCGCAGCTCCACGGAGACGTCGCGGTGCCGCCGGGACTTTGGCAGCTCGCAGCCCCGCTCTGTGTCCCCCAGCTCCGTTGGGATGCGGGTAGGCAGGACGCCCGCTCTGATCCCCGCCCCGAGGCCTGGGACTGGAGGGTCTCAGGGTGAAGGCGGCGCAGCTCTGCGCTCCCAGGACACCGCTGGAGGTGTCGGCGGCTCCGTGGCACATTCACGCTTGACGGAAATCACTGCCCCCATTCCCGTGTCCCTCATCCACCCTCTCTGTGTCCGCGCTGCCCCCGTCTCCCCCTGCAGTGAAAGCAGTGAAGGAAGAGGCGCTCGGATAAAAAGCCTTCAGCCCTCATTCGTTTCTTCCTCCTCTGACATCAAAGCACCGCACGGGGCTGAGTGAGGGGGGTGGAGAGCAATGGATGCTGCTGGCGGTGCGGGACACGGCAGGGCACAGCACGGCACAGCAGAGCACAGCACGGCACGGCGTGGTACAGCACTGCACAGCACAGCAGAACAGAGCAGAACAGAGCAGAATACAACACGGCACAGCACGGCATGGCATGCTCCCCATCCATGTGTGTGGGATCTCAGCGGCCCTGGAGCCACATGCAGGGGAAGGGCTTTCTGGCGACAAACTGAGCAGGATGGGGCTCTCACTCCAGGGATTGATACCTCCCTGAGGGGGTTCTGAGCTCGTGCTGCAGTGCCCAGTGAAGGATGGCAGCTTGCAGTGGGATCGGGGTGCCTTTTTCCCCCCCTGTGACTCCAGCCCTGTGCCAGGGACACTCTGCTCCCCTGGGCCTGCAGCCAGCACACAACTCAATGCTTGGGACACAACGTGGCTCCCAGAGCCGTCACCATCCGGGTGTGACCGAGGGACCCATCTGCAGCCAAAGCGGCTTAGAGGACAGCATATGGGCACAAACGGGATTAGGGGAAAATCAGCCTTCTTCCCGCTAACAGGATTACGGGTTTTCATCCCAGAGGCGATGCAATGCTGGCACTGCCCATGCCCACAGCAGGCAGGGAGCTGGTGCTGCAGCCCCCACCCCCAATACCACCGTGCAAGCAGCACTCAGCTCTACACGGTGTGTCTGCTGCTGCACTGCTGGGAATTTCCCCCACTGCAAAGGCCGGGGGGCTCAGGTCAGGTTAGTTGCATTTGTGCACCACGCACATTGCGCTCCTGCATTGTGCACCACGCACCCGGCCCAGCCCTGCAGAGCAGCACTGCTGCATTTGAGGCGCAGGGGCAGGCAGTGGAAGGTGCCTCTCTGATCTCGTCCCCCACCCGGGCTCACAGCAGGGCGCTGGAAGCACCGCGCAGTGCAGCACCGGTATTTTGGGGCGCTCCCGTCCGAACCCCCGGGGCCATAGCGGAGCCTCGCGCCCCACCCGCCACGTGCTTCCTTCCCGCTCATGAATATTAACACACTCATTTGCATCTCCCCGCCTCGCGTCGCCATTGGCTGCCCGTCCCGCCGCTCCTCGCCCGCCCCGCCCCTCTCGTCCCCTCCTTCCCTCCCCTCTCCTCCGTCGCAACCGAACCTGGCGGCCGCGTCTCGCTCCGCCTCCCCGCTCCCATCGCGAGCTCTGATTGGCCAGCGGCGCTGCCCGTCGGTGAGGTGGGCGTGGTGGCGGCAGCAAGCTGCGCTGCGCGGCAGAGCCCCGCTGGTGTCCGGCGGCGGCAGCTCCTCCTTCCGCTCCGCGCGGCCCTACGGGACCGGTGAGCGGCCCCGAGCCAGCGGGAGGTGCGGGGGGGACGCGGGGCAGCCCTGGGGGCGGTGTGGGGAGGGCCGGAGTAGACCGCGGCCTGCTGGACCCCCACTACCCCTCCAGGCCCGGCCCCGCGGCCTGGTGGGAGGTGGAGGGAGGGATGAGGCGTGGGGGGGCTCCATAGGGGCGGCTGTGGGGGGGGAGTTGGGCTGGGAGCGGTGCTTGAGGCGGGTGAGTGGGGCACGGCGGGGTGCGCGGCGGCGAGGCCTCGGGGGGGTAGTGGGGCTGTTGGGGGGGGGGGGGGGCACTGGGGGTCGCGAACCGTGGGAGAGTTTGGAGGACAGCGGGGCGTGGGGGCTGCAGGCAAAGGGAATCCCTCAGAGCCCCCATAGGGGATTTGGGGTGGGGGGGGGGGCCGGGCTGGGACTGCTGTGCTCCCCCCTCTTACTTTCCCCCTCCCTGCTGTGAGTCTCGTGCAGCTGTGGGGCACGTGGGGAGGGGGGGGGGGGGGAGGTTTGTTTCCAGGTGTGGCCTTAATGAAAAACAACGGGGAGCATCAGAGCTGTGCTGTGCCTCCCCACCCCCCCCCCGTGCCTCCCCCCTCGGGACTGGGGGGTTATGGGGATGGCAGGCAGCATTCAGTGTCTGCAGTGACCCCCACCAGGAACCCAGGGTGACCCTATGTTGGGTTATGGCCGTGGGGCAGCAGGGCTGGGTCCCAGTGCTCCCTATGGGGTCATTTGGTCCCGGTGCTCCCTATGGGGTTGCTTGGCCCCACTGCAGCCCCGGCACGCGCTGTGTGCTGGGAGCAGCCGGGGGAGGACCCAGCGTGCCAGGATCGATGTGTTTCAATGGAGCTGATTGTCTGCGAGGTTTTCTTCTGCCATCTGTAGCTGCGAAACAGATGGGAATGGCTCTTTTGTGCGGCCGGAGGAGCGCTGTGGGTTTTAATGATGGACATCGGAGGCGCGTTGGGATGGAGGCACTGCTGCTCTCCATGCCTGCCCAAGCCGGGGTGCAGCACTGAATGCCCTCCAGCCACACGTTGGTTGACATCTGGGATCACCGTAGGAAGGCGTCAGCCCTCGTTAGTGTTCGCCCTGGTTCGCTGAAGGGCTGAAGGGCAGCGGCGGTGCCTTGGCTCAGCCCTTCGAGGAGCAGGCCCTGGAGCTATGGGTTGGCTCAGAGCCGCCCCGCTCCTGCCTTCCTGCCCTGCTTCCTTATCTGTGCCATAACTGTGCCCTGCCCTGCAGCGAGCAGTGCTGGGGGGGAGCACCCAGAGCCAGGCCCCATTGCTGCTCTGTGGGCAAACACCGAGCCTTGGGAACGCTGATCTGTGTGGTTCGGTGTCAGTTTAGGGGCAGCGGAGCTCCTCCTGCCCTTGGCCGTCCCATAGAGCTGTGGGGCTGGCTGGTGGCCATCAGAATGGTGTGTTTGGGCCTGGAATAGCCTCCTGTTCACTGAGCAGCCCCGGGGGGAGGTGGTGAAGGGCAGAACAGGAGCGGAGCTGACACCAACATGGTGGCAGCACAAAGAGCAGGGAAATAGATCCTGATTGCATGGAGATTCCAGCACGGAGAGGGCAGAGCGTGGGGAAGAGGGGCTGATAGGAGTGCTGCGTGTACAGCAGTGCGGGCTCAGCGCTGAGGGCTGCAGTGGGTGCTGAGCTCCCAGAGCTTGGCTGTGCGGCCCCCGGCGCCGATGGATCCCATGTTGGGTTCAGCAATCTCAGAAACAGCAATGCTGGGTCTGGTGAGCGAGCTTTGAGGCGGAACGCTCTGCCTGGCATTGCTCAGGTACCGCTGGTGTTCCTCAATGTGCTCAGCAGAGCTCTGTTGCAGGGCCTGGTGTGCAGTGAGGGCACGGTGAGGTTGGGGTTGTGGGGCTGGCAGCGGCCTGGCCAGCTCTCGCCATGTGCTGCCTGCAGGACCTGCTGCCCGTCCTTCTCCCAGAGGGAGAAGGGAAGTGAAGTGAGAAGGGAGTGGGAAATAACAGCAATAACAGCACAGCTCCCTCCTGCTGCGTGGCTCAGCCGTCGTCACGGTGAGGACAGAGCAGCAAAGCTGGAAAGACCTTTCTTAATAATAATTTGCCTCGTATTTACCTGTCCAGTTTGTGTGTCAAGGGGAATTGCTGGAGTTTGCAGAGGATGGAGAGCTGGTGGTGGCAGCTCGGGTTGGTGGCTGCGCCGTGGCTGAGCTCCGGCCGTGTGCATTGTCTTGCTGCCATGCACGAGGATCCCCTATTATCGTTCTGCATTGCTCTGAAAAAGGCCCTTTCTGGCAGCAGCAGAACAAGCACGGCATTGTGCCACAGCACTGTGCAGAGTGAGAGCACAGCTCAGGGCTGTGGGAGCTCCGGGAGCAACGCTGCTGCTCTCCGTGCATCGCTGTGCCGTCCCGAACGCTGCCGCTCCTGGGGAGCACCGAGTGAATTGAAACCTGGTGGTGGCTGCAGGTGGATTTGGAGAGGCTGAGGATGGCCGTGCAGCAGCTCGGTTCAACGGGTCGGGCCTGGGCGCTCCAGGCTGGGTGGGTTGGGGTTGGCTGTGAGCTTAGAGAACAAAAAGGAGGAAACTCGGGCATGCTGCGAGCGCTGAGACACAAAACAGGAAGCCTGGCGGAGGGCTACGCTCTCATAATTTATTGCATGCCTTTCCCTGCTCCTGCTAACGGCCGGGAGAGAAGTTTCAATGCTCTGATGGTTTTGCAGAGCTGAAAAACGCATCCCTTCAGCTCATCCCCTTCAGGGAGAAAACCTCCATCTGTTTTTGACGCAGACGCAGGAGCCGGGGCTTTTCTTCTTCTGACCCCAAAGGCTTTTTGCCCGCTCCTGCTCTCGCATTGCTCCACCTGTTGTCCCTTCTGGATGCTTTTAACCCACTGCCGTTTGCCCTCAGGTTCTGCTGCTGCAGTTCTGGAGCTCCAGCAGTGCTGCGCTGTGGCTGCGTGTGGTTCTATGGGAGGTGGTTGGTGGTGCAGCCCAGGTTCTGCTCATCTCCTCCAGCCTGAGGTTCTGCTCGCCTCCAGGGCTGCCTGCCCTGCTTGGTCTGTGCTGGTGCTCCTGTTGTGCTGCTCTCTCCATCCCTCGCTGCAGTGGATTTCGTGTTGCTCTGCAGCTTTTCCATCAGAAGAATGCAGCTGGTTGGAGAGGCTCCTTTCCTTTTAGGCTGAGAAATGTGATCATTTTGTTTCTGGTTACGGGACGATGTTTGTAAGTGTGACCTTGGGAGAGGAGCTGTCACAGGGCTGGAGGTGATCACAGGCAATGAACTGCCAGGTAATGCCTCCAGCAGTGAGGTGGGGAGACGTTTCTGTGGTGTTTGCAGAGGTGCAGGTTGGAAAGCAGAGCAGCAGAAGCAGCGTTCCGGGTGATGGCTGTGAGCGGGTTGGTGCTCCGTGCAAGGAGCAGCCTTACAGCCTGGGGATTCGCTGTGTGTGTGCTTGGACGTTGGGTTCCTGGGTGATGGAGGAGCAGTGCAGCTCAGGTTGTCATCGCTGCCCTCAGCAAGGTGAGGGGAACCACAGGGAGGGTGGAACTCGGCGTTCGACACCACGATTTGAGGTCAGCTGAAGTTGCTTTTGTAAGCAGCGGCACACGAGGGTTCCTTGTTGTCACCACAGGAAGCTCAGGGTGCTGATGGGGTGCCTGATGTGCTTTGCCTCGTGATCCCACCCTCAGCTTTTCTTTCTAGGCATCTGTCGGCACTTCACAGAGGCTCACGCACTGCAGTGCAGTTGGTGCCTCTGGTGGTGCACAGGTGTGCAAAAGCAGGTGCTGCTTTAACACTCCTCCTACAGCACGTTACCTGTGTGTGGCATCGCTTCCATTGGTTCCACCTGGGGATGGTTCTGTAGGACCCTGTGTGCAGTACTGGGCAAGGAGGGGGGGCCGTGCAGGGACTTTGGTGGCGGTGGTCCCTGCAGCTGCTTTGTCGCCATGCCCTCAGCACAGCCATTTGCACAAGCAGCCCCTGGCTGTGCTGTAGAGGCTTCTTCACCTTTCTGCACGACTTTATGAGAATAATAAAGAAGAAAAGATGCATTATTTCTCTTCGACACGTGCCGTGCTGGCGTGGTGGAGGCGCGCTCTCCTTCGGAACCAGGCAGGTGCTCAGAATAGCAGCAGCTGCCACGGGCCGGGCTGGAGCAGAGTCGGTGAGTTGTGCTGTCAGTCACAGGAGCACGAATCCCATCCCACCTGCGGATGAGCATTCCTGAAATAGCAGAGGGCTGTCAGCATGCAGCAAGCTGCACTGCGCGCATCTCTGCCCCGCGCTCGGAGCAGAAGGCGAAGTTGCAATGGTTCAGCTGCACGGAGCAACTGCTCTGCAGCACTGATCGGATGAGGGTCTGCTGTGCAGCGGAACCGCGCTGCTTTTCCCCTGGGAATGATCCCAAATGGCAGCTCTTGGATTTTGGGGGTGGCAGCCGCCCCGCTGCGTGTCCGCAGGTGCTGCCAGGTCACATTTCTGCAGGCATCCCCGTGCAGTTGGGTGGATCCCCACCTGGATGCAGGGTTTGCAGCTCCTCCAGCCTCGTGCTTTGCCCTCAGTGTCGTCCTGCCCTCCTTGTCCTGCTGGTAGCTGCGTCCACGATGCCTCCCTGCTGGCGTGTGGGGCTGGGAGGCGGGCTCTGCATCCGGCACTGCTGCCAGTGCGCTGCGATTCTGAAGTGCATCCAAGCTAAAACTTAATCAAATATAGTGTTTACTTTAATTACTCTGAAAGGACGTCTAACCTGTGCGCTGGCACCGGGTTTCAATCTCTTGTTGGCCGTGTGGCTCTGATGCGAACCGTGGGGTGGGAGTGGGGCACAGCAGCACGACTGCCTGCAGCAGAGCTTGGTGTGCTGCTGTCCTCGACGCCTGCACCTCCCTGCTGGCACGTGGCTGCTTTGGAGCTGTGCTGGGAGTGAGTGGGGCTGCGTGGGGCTGCAGTGCTGCTCTGCCACGGAGGCTCAGGGGCTCCCAGGGCTCTGACCGTGGGTTTGTAGCATCCAGGTGGGTGTAGGGATGCCGCCCAGGTCAGCAGGGAAGCAAACTGTTGCTTCTGGGGAAGCACTGAGAGCTTTCGATAAAGAAACTGCAAAAGAGCAAAGCGTTGCTCACTTGGCCCTTCCTAAATGTGCTTTTGGAAAGCAGCAGCCCGTTTGTGGTGCAGCGCTGTGTGGGTGCTGCGCTGTGAGCGTGGGGTGAGGAGGTGCAGAGCAGCACCTGGCTGCGTTGCATTGCTGTGTGCTTCTCCTGTGCTCCTCTCGGTGCTTGGCAGCTGCTGCACGGCCGTGGCACTGTGGGCACTGTGCCTGCTGCTGCTGCTGCTGCTGCTGGAATTCCTAATGCTTTTTTTTCTTTCCTACACTTTAATTTGGTGAGAAACGCCTCTGAGCGCCGCGCTCCTATTCTGGAGAGAGAACAAAATGATAACTGCAAGAGGAGAGCTGGGAGGATGGTGCTGACGGCACCGGGTTTGCCGTTTTCCTTGTGCTCAACCCACAGCCCTGGCAGCAACAAGGGCTGAGGATTGCTGGCCCCACTGCCGGGCCCTGGCTGCAGCAGGGCTGTGGGCAGCTGGAGGTGCTGGTGCTGCAGCAGCAGCTCAAAATGCCCGACCGTGTTGTGGGTGAGCTGTGCTGGGAGGCAGCTCTGGTGACAAATAGGTGACCGCTCCTCTTCTCATCTCCGTGGTTTCCTGCGAAGCCGTGCCCTGGGCAAGGGAAGAGCTGTAACAGGAACAAGCAAACATCCGTGCTTCCTGGTGACTGCGGGCTGGGAACGCGGCGCTGCCTGTAGCTGGGTGCTCCCTGATTGGATTCGTGATTAGATGTGGGGCGGCTCCTGCCTGTCTGCACTGCCCTACGGCCACCCCTGTCCCCACTGTCAGACCCCCAACCCCTTCCCTGCACCCTCTGTGCTGTCCCTGTATCACTTGGGGGGCTCTGTTGGGGCTCCCGCTGCTGCCCGTGCCCCGGGTGGCTGCTGGCACGCAGTGGTGACAGCGTTGTGTCACCGTGCACGAAGGGCTGCAGAGCTCAGTGATGGATGTTGGCTGCTGTCGGAGCGTGGTTTTATCGGAGGCGTTTCCAGGTGTGCAGGTGGGGGTGAAGGTTCCTGAGCAAAGGTTCAGCAGTGAATCATGGCTCTGAATAGGAGCTGCTCCCCAGCCCGCTGGTCCCGCTGTCATAAATATCTGTCCATGCACAGAGCTTGGAGGGCGGAGGGTGACATTGGGTGACACCGAGGGTGGATGTGGCTGGGGGCTGAGGAGGGGCTGTGCCATGACCCCCCCCCTTTCCCCGACAGCCCGAATTCCACATTATCTTCTGCAGATGTCATCATCTGCCCTTCCACAAGGGAAGCAGCGCAGCAACTTTCCCAACCCACAGAGCAACTCTGAGCCTCTCCAGCTCCCCTCTGTCTCGCGCTTCAATTCAGCGTGTGGGCTTTTCAATTTGCTCATTGTGGGGAGGAACAAAGAAACCTAACGCTGCGGATCTGCCTTCCTTCCCCTCTCTTTAGCAAAATCTCTCTTTGTCATTCTTCTTTCTGACTTCCACCAATTGCTCATGCTGTTCTCTCTCCTTTCTTTTGTTGCAGCCCTTAGAAACGCAGGGCGCATCGGTGTGGCTGCTCCATCCCTTCCCAGCATCCCTGCGTGGCTGAGGAGCACAGGGAGCATTTCTCTGCTCTTTGGGTTGCTGTTTCCCTGTGTCCCTGTGTGTGTGGGGCCGCCTGGAGCCCCCCAATCCACCTGCACGGTGCAGCAGGTGCTGTGCCTGCACTCTGCTCCATGGGCACATCCCTTGTGCCCACCAGGGGACAGCCCTGCGTGGCTTTGTGCAGGGCTTGGTGTCCCCGTGCTGTGTCAATGCTTTCTGTAGTAAAAATGAGAAGCGTGGGCTGTTTCAGCAGGACGCAGCACCAAAGCCTGGTGCTCGGGGCACAGCAGGCTCTCCCTGCAGCAAGGTGTTCGTTGGCTGAACTCTCTCCATTTTCCTTTTGTTTCAGGAGAACCGTCCTGAAACGCATCGCCCTCTGGTCGGAGCAGGTGTTGTGAGCACCCTCAGAGCAGGTATGGCTGTGTGCAGCACCACACACCCCCAGGCCCCCCCACATCCCTTTGTACCCCCGTGAGGTGAGCAGTGCTGCCAGCAGCGCTGACCCGGCTGACTGCTGTGTGCAGGCAGCTTGCAAGCAGCCAGCATTTGCTCTGCTTCTTGGAAGCCCTGGCACAGGGGGGAGGGATGGAGGGCTGCTCTTCCCCTGCCCTACACCTCTGTTGCTGGTGTCCCTGCCGTGCTACAAAGCAGCAGCACTGAGTGCCTCTGGTGCTTTGCTTTCAGGCGGTGCAGAGCCCAGAGGGGCTTTTAGGGCTGTATGCAGGGCAGAATCTGAGTGCTAGGTGCTATATCATGCACCCTGTGTTATCTCATATCCTCTCAGCTGTGGAAGGGGAGGATGGTGAAGTCACAGCTTTGGAGGCTGCTGGGTAAGGGGTGCCTTAACCCCAGGCCCATGCACAGCAGAGCTTGGAGCAGTGAGCAGGGTTGTGTTGCGCTGCTGCGGAGCAACTGCTCCAAGCTGCAGGCTCTGCTTCTCCCACTGCTTCACCCCACTGCAACTTTTGGGAGGACGCTGCTCCTGTTTCATTGCTGGGAACTGAAACAGAAAAGTCTATTTGTGAAGGTATTTAGATGCTCCGAGCCCTTTTGCTTTCAATAGGAGGCTGTGTCTAAAGTTACCCAAGGTCACCAGGAAAACCCATTTCCGACGCAGCCGTTGTCTGTAAGCTTTTGCATTCCATTCTGTGATTGCCAACGTGGTTCCACCACTTAATTTAAATAAAATTACAGTGGACTCCAGGCCGGGCACTATCTGCTTTACCATTCCAGGTGAAAAATGGAAAGTTCTTGTACTCAGCAGGTTATTAGTTAAAGCTGACTTACCTTGAATGCGGTTCTCAATGCGCCTTCCCTGCTCCGTCTTCAAAGCTCCAAATCAAAGCCAGGCAGCGTTGCTGGTGGTTTCTGCCCCGTTTCTCAGGCAGCAGGGAGTTTCTGAGCCATGCCAGCAGCGTTGCAGTGCTCAGTGTCCCTCGCAGCCCTCCGGAGCTGCTCTGCAGAGCTCTCCAAGAGAGGGCAGTGTGTCCCTGGCAGCGCAGCGTCAGCCAGCAGTGAGCTGAGAGCACGAGTCCTTACATCAATGTGAGATGCATAATTGACAGGCACGCTTGTTAGCAGACGTGCTGGGAGCTGTGAGTTCTGTTGGCTGTTCCCCAGAATACAGCAGTGCTGCTTCTTGCCTCACTTTCATCAGAAGCATCGCCGTCCGCTCCCCCTGCGTCGCTCTGCCCCGCTTCTTGCACTTGGCATCTCCTCCAGAAGGGAGCAGTTTTCTTGGGGTCCGTGTGGAGCTTTGCCATGAGGATGGAGAGCTGATGTAAAACGTGAGGAAACTGCAGAGAAAAGCAACTGAAAGGGTTGTTCTGTGGTCATGTGTTGCCCAGGCTGCAGCTGGGAGGTTCCGATGCCAGTTGCCATCCCAAAAGCAAATCTCCAAAGGCCATTCGTGTGCCCTGGGTTCCACCCAGCCCTGCTGTGATGTTGCAGCTCAGTGCAGCCCCCAGCCCCGCTCTGCTCCATCCAAAGCTGCTTTCATTCCGTTCATTTCTCCTCCATCCCTGATTTACATGAAGGGCCCTTTATTGGTGACTGATGTCTTGAGGAACTGCCCTATTAATTGCTGCTCCATCAGGAGCTCCTCGTTTCCCAGGGCTCATCAAGGCTCTTCGTTTCCTCGCTAATTGCCTCCAGAAGATAGGGCACTTGTGTAACCCAAAGGCACATTGAGATAACCTCAGAAAGTTGCTCTGACATAAAACCGTATCCCAGGAGAAGCGGCCACGTTTCAAACCACGCCATGAGCCTCACTGCACAGCCTGCCTTCCTCCCCTCCATTCTCCCATTTCTCCCTTTTTTTGGGCTGCAAATTGCTGCTGTGGCTGCTATCCTTTATCTGCTGCCTAAAAGAAGGAGGAGGCGGATTTGGGGGCAAAAGGGGATCGCGCAGCCCAGAGATGGATCTCCCATAGAAGGGCGCTGTTGCTGTGGCACCTTTTAGTTCCATTACTGTCGGTGCGTTTTTTAAATGGCATTTTCCAAACAGCTTAAGGGAATCGGTGTCCTAAAATCAAACCAGCCCCACCGAGCCCTGCTGTTCCCATGGGTTGTTCCCCAGAGCCTTGGGAGCGCTGCAAGATGGGAGCAGAGCTGCAGCCCCACGTGTTTACTGAGGAATGAGGCTCTCCTTTTCCTTGAAAGAATGAACTCTTGCAGATGGAATGCTGCTGTCTGTCTGTGGGGTTCATTTTCCACTTGTTCCTCTTTTGTTCCAAGGAAAAGCCGAGCTGGAGCAGGGCTTCCTGGCAGCTGCAGGCGAGCGTTTGGCTTGCAGGATGCCTTGCAGTAACCCAGCACTGGTCATGGGCTGTGTGCTGGAAGGGGGAACAGCTTCCTGTGGCAGGGGAAAGAGAAGCTGCGTGTCCCCGGGAGGAATGGAGGGGGGAAACGTGAAGCCTGCACCGCAGGCATTTTGCAGCGGTTGTCTGGGTGCGATTGTTTGGCACTGATTTTATTTGCCAGCTCCGGGTGTCTGTTTTTGGGAACAGCACGAAGCCAAACCCCTTGGACACGCAGTCCCTGTGTGCTGAGCTGCAAACAGTGTGACGCTGGCACGGCTTGGAGCCCTGCTGCTGGTCGGGCAGTGCAGTGTCACCCCATGGGTGGCTGCAGGTTGGCTCAGCCCTGGGCTTGTTTCCCCTGCCAGCCAGCAGCAGCGCGTGGTCGTGCTGGGGAATATCGTGTTCTTCACCTTTGCCCTGGGAGCAGCATGTAAGGAAGCGGGGCAGAGTGTATTCCAGCACGCTGAGGTCAGCCTTGTTTTCCCACTCGGAGCAGGAACAGACCATCCCTGGAGCGGCTCTGCAATCAGGCAGAGGCTGTGCTCTGCGCAGAGCCAAAGATGGGGCTGTGCTGTGCAAAGCTGCTGGCTGCCCCTCGTTTGGACCTTCTGGCCAAAGGGCGTGCGGGAGGAAATGCCACCGTGCTCCTGGCGGTGTGTGCAGGGATCCTGCAGGCTGTGCTTTGGGATGGAAGGGGTTTTGGGTGCTGAGCTGGGCACAGCAGCAGTGTATATGGCTGCTATGGGCTCTCAGCGAAGCCCTGTGCTGCCCATGGCTGCACGCAGCTGTTCTCAGCCCAGCACAGCCCATACAGAAGGGCTTTGGGCTGCAGTGGCTCATCCTGAGCAGGGCCCCGAGCCTTGCCTGCAGCAGGGATGGAGCATCTTTGGCATTTGTCACCTCTCACAAAGCACCAGAGGCACTTTAACAACTGCAGATGCCTGGCGGGGCTGAGCTGCTTGCTATTTAAATCTGCTCGCAATTTAGAAGCAGCAATTATTTTTTTCGTGCCCTGAAATCCCACGGAGCTGGAAGGGGGGGGGAGGCTGAGCTCTGGTTTGGTGCAGCTGTGATTTACGGGGGCAAGTTCCCCTTCAGCAATTAGCAGAAGGCAGCGGGATGCTGGGAAAGCAGTGCTTGCTCCTTTTCCTGATGAAGCACAAAAGGAGGGCAGTGCATTTGGTGATGGGTCCCTCCAGGCTGCTCTTCCTCACCCCTTCTATGGAGGACCCCGAGGACAGGATGTTTTCCCTACTCCTGGTGCCCTTCAGCACTCTGCATGCTTTCTGCCCTCCCTTATGCTTTATTTTGGGAGGGGCTGACCAAACCCCCCTGAATTTCAGCCCTTCCTGTGAGCTGGCACTGGGCACAACAGCGGGGTGCCAGCGTTGGCATTCACCATTTGGGTCTGAGGGCACGTGGGCTGCTCCCTGTGCAGTGCTGGCAGCTTGGGGGGCCCAGACCCCGACCCCCATCCCTCTGCCCTTTGCTCTCTGGAGCCCTCACCCCTCCTTGATGTCCCGGCCCTGTTCAGAAGGCTTTCCCTTCTGCTCATGCAGGGTGGCATTGGGGGCTCCAGCGAGATGTTGGTGAGAGCTGCTGTCCTCCAAAACCAAACCGAAACCGAATAACCCCTATTTGGCAAGAGGGCTTTTCCTCATCTTTTGATTTACTGAAATCCAAAGGCGATGGAGCAGAAGGGGCCGGGCAGCGCGTGGCCCAAAGCCCAGCGGACGGCGAGTGACGTTGGTTTTGTTTCTTAAGAAATGTGTTTGTGCTCAGAGCTCGAGCAGAGCCGCTGTCAGCTCCGTGTTCCTGGCAGCCGGCCGCATTGAGCAACGCCTTCCTGGCAGCAGGGGGGGCCGTCCTGCTCCTCGTGGGGATCCGGACCCTCCCCCAATCTCCCCCCTCTTGCAGCCATTTGGGGTTTTTGTGTTCTTTTGCTTAAAACCCCAGCTGGCTTCTTTGCTCGGCCGCTGTTCTGCAGCAGCCCTGCTCTGTGCTGCCTGCATTCCTGCCTGCTGCTTTGGCGGCGCTGGCTGAGCACAGCTCTGCAGAGCTCTGTGTGTTCCGTGAGGATTATTAAATCATCCCTTCCAGCCGTCCCCATACAAACAAGTCAGCGCTGAAACATTATCTGCAAGCGCTGACTAACAAGTCCTGTAATTAGTCATCTCCAGTTAATGAAGGAGCGCGGTGATTAAAGCCTCATGACTTTTCTATAGAAGAAATGAGTTAAATACCAGTTGCGCTGCATCAGGTTGCCCAGAGCTCACTGTGAGCTCAGAGCAGTGGGAAGGTTTGGGGTTGCTCTGTCTGTTCTGTTGTTGTTCTTCCACCAATGCGATATTAAGGCTTGGTTTAAGCTGGAACTGACCTCTTTGGCTGGCTGTGCTGCTCTGACGCTGCATAGAACAAAATAATTGAGGCGTTTAGCAGCAGAGCATGGGGCTGCAGTGTGTGAACACGATGTTGTTTTCATCGCCTCTGTCTTTACAGAGCTGCATTGGCCTCAGTGCTTCCCGTGCAGCCCTGATCCCCGTGCAGCCCTGATCCTCATGCATCAGCAGGCAGCCCCATCTTTCAGCCCCGCGTGGGAAATGCAGCCGGCT